AAAGTATTGGGGATGAGGCCACTGGTAAAGACTAAGTCTAAGATGTTTTGATGTCTGGTAGGGCTATCGACATACTGAGTCCATTGTCCAAGCTCTAGACATTCAATAAATGATTCATAACGTCTCGGCGCTTTGACTGGCAGCCAGGAAATTTCGGGCATATTGAAGTCACCACAAATGAGCTTGCCTGTGAATGGGAGGGATGATGCTAGTGTGAATACCTCCGATAATACTGCTATTTCATCTATTGATGCGTTAGGTTGACGATAAACACAGCCGAGCAGTAAGGTAAGGGAATTCGACGGCTTTAATACAATCCACACCGAATCCTTCAGTTTGTTTAGTTCAGGCATATCACATAGCAGTGAGTTTAGGCTAGAGTGAGCGTAAATAAGGCATCCTCCGCCTCGTCCATTCAATCTATCGCTTCTATATAGAAAATAATTATCAAGAGATATACTTCGGTCGGAAATATTACTGGTAGTCCATGCTTCAGATATAATAAGTGATGGTTGATATATGGATACAAACAGGGCTAAATCCGTCTTTTTGTTGCAGATCGATCGAGCGTTGATAAGACATATATTAAGCAAGTGGCCTACTAAGTTAAAATGAGTGAGCGTATCTCGGATAAAGTCGTCGTAACCCTCGCGGGTGTGAGATGAGATTGATGTGAGGGATTGGATGTTCTTCATTAGCTCGGTATTTTGATAGCTAGACTTAGTGGGAGATGTATCAAATGAGCTAGTGAAGTTGATTGGGGAATTTACCCAGGAGGAAAGGGTGGGAGTACTCTCTGATGGAAAATGTACGGCGGAAACAAATTTATGGTTTGCATGTGGTTTGAAATAACCTGGGCATAAAATTATCATCAGGAAGCGTTACAAAATAGCATACTAAAAGATATAACGAACCAATAGCGTTTAAGATTCTCCCAAGTGGGAAATATGACACGGTGGTGTAGCGGTAAATAAATCCCTAAAATAAATAGCTCTGTAAGTTTTCGACATTGGATGCTGACCATATGTTTTAGTGGACTCATCTAGCTGAAGGCGCTCGGTCAGGCATCTGCACCAGATCACGTGTGGTAACGCCGTGCTCAACATCAACCGCAATCGCTAGCCAGATTAGATCAGAGAATTCCGATATATTGGTCATCGCCAAATATACTCTTCCGATCTCCTCGACTCTGTCTTTTGATTTCTCTGGGCGGGAACGAAATATATTAGAAGGTGTTACTGGTAGAAGCGTTGTCAAACACTGAATACCTGTGACATCATCATTGGTGAGCCCGACGTGAGCGCTTTGGCGAGGAAACAAGAAATTCTATTTTTAAAATAAATAAGGTATTTTCCAATTGAGTTCTGGGGATCTAACATCCCCATTGAAGCTCCTCTTGTAAACAACATCGTTGCAGGAAGTGTAAAGCCGTGATTCATAAAGATGGATCATGTCAAAATAAAGGCCGAATATCTCCAGAAAGGCTGTTCCTAGATCCTGCAACACAAATTTATTGAGTCTAGTAGCAACCTATCAGAGCTCAACCCCAGGTTAGAGGAAATTTATTACCCTTAATATTAATGAGCATCCGCTTAGATTGCGGATAGACACTGCATCTGACGTGCCGATTCTCTCACGAAAATCTTGGATCAAAATGGGCAGACCACACGCGCTGCCAACAATACAAAACCTCGTACTGTATGCGGTAATCCCCTACGTTTGTTGGGACATCTAGATTGTAAAGTGTCTTCTCGCGATTCAACGTTCACCGGGATATGTTACATAGCACCAACTGATCTTAATTTACTTGGTTTAAATTGATTTGACCAGCTGCATTTAGCTGACATTACGTTAAGCACCGTATGCCATTTGGTGAAACAACCCCATGAACCTGGAGCATATTCGAAGAAACTAATGACGGAGTTTTCGACCATTTCCCAGCCTGTTTTTGGTTCGGTGCTCTGCTATGAAAGCAACACTTCGGTTGAAACCTTGAGCTAAACCTGCTTTCCGTCCAAAAAACACAGTGCCATACTCAGCATTATCAAAAGTTGATTAAGAACTTGATCGTCTTCAACTAGAGGGAGTTATCACACATGTTACATATTATGTTTGGGCAGCATCCATTCTAGTTATTAAGAAGGCTAATGGCACAACCCGAATATGCGCAGATTCTTCCACAGGTCTTAACGCAGCTCTCAAGCAGCATCATTACCCACTGCTAGGCCCTGCAGATTTGTTTACTATGCTAAATGGTGGAAAGTTCTTGGCAAAGCTGGATCTTGTTGATACCAATTTACAAATGGAAGTGGCTGAAGAATCGAAAGAGCTACTTACTATTAATGCTCATAGTGGCTTCTTTCAGTATAATCGCATACCGTTTGAAGTTAAGACCGTTTCATCTATTTTCCAGCAACTAATGGATACCATCCTATCGGGTATTCTGGGGGTGACAACTTATCTCGATGACATCTTAATTGTTGCCACACAGTCAGAACAGCTACAAGAACGCACGACAGCTGTACTACAAAGCATCTGCGATAACGGATACCGGTTACGCTCAGAAAAATACCAGCTTTCCTTGAAGTCAGTAAAATATTTGAAATTCATCTTTGATGTTGCAGGTCACAGACCAGACCCTGAAAATATCCGAGCCATAAGAGTGATGCCCACTCCTACCAACATCTCCGCTCATTTCTGGGATTAGTCAGCTACAACTCAGCTTCCGTTCCGTCGTTGCATGACGTACGCACTCCACTAAATTATCTTTTGAATAGGAATACTAGTTGAAATGGGAAAAAGAGTGTGAAGCTGTCTTTTGCAAACTGAAAATAATCATTAGCTCTGAGCTATTATTGACACTGTACGATCCATCCATGCCAATCGTCGTAGCTGCAGATGCTTCAGCTGCTGGACTCGGTGTTGTCATCTCACACCAGTTACCGGACACGACAGTGAAAGCTATTATGCATGCATCTCGCACATTAACTCCAGAAGAAAGGAAGTACAGCCAGATAGATAAAGAGCCTCTCGCCCTTGTGTTTGCAGTACGCCGTTTCCACAAATTCCAGTACGGTCGAAAATTTACTCTTCTAACTGATCACAAGCCTCTTTCCACAATTTTCGGTTCGAGATCTGGTGTTCCAGCCCACTCTACAAACCGTCTCCAGCGATGGTCTTTGATACTTTTGGGTTATGATTTTGACATTCGGTATCGGCTCACCCAACGGTTTGATCGGGCAGACGCCTTGTCACGACTTATCAGCGAACACCTTACGGCCGATGAAGATGCAATTATTGCCTCCCTTATGACAGAAGACCACGCGCATTGTTACCTGACAACTGCTGTTCGTGCCTTGCCAGTTTCAGCATCTGAGATACAAACCACCTCCGAGAAATGACCCCAACATTAAGAGAACGATGAACTACGTCACCAATGGCTGACCGTCAACTGGATTGGATGGCGACATGAAGCAGCTTCACTACCATCAGGACTTATTGTGTCGTGAATGAATGCTTGATGTTTGGAGATAGAGGGTGCTAAAGCAGTTCCAGATTGTTCAACCTGTTATAAAATGAATGAAATCCATCGCCAAAAGCTATGCTTATTGGCCCCTCATGGACCATCACATCGTGGATTTACCAGGCAAATGCAAGCCGCCGGTCCCGTGGCCACAGCCTGAGTATCCCTGGTTCAGGATACATGTCGGTTCCGCCGGTCCAATCAATGGAACCGTCTATCTAGTCATGGTCGACGCCTTTTCAAAATGGCTAGAAATCGTTTCCACCAAGCCAACAACGACTACCGAAACGATACAACTCTTGACGGAATGTTCTGACGCAACGGATTACCGGATGTAATTGTACCAGACAATGGTTCGCAGTTCACCTCAACTCAGTTCCAACATTTTTACCAACGGCTATCCACTAAGCATCTCCGCTCTCCACCTTACCACCCACAGTCAAACGGCCAAGCAGGAAGATTAGTGGATACATTCAAGAAAGCTCTAATCAAGTCGAAAGGGGAGGGGATGCCAGTGGAAATACTCCAGAACTTCTTATTCGTCTACCGAACAACATCTAGTGATATGTTACCAGAGCAGAAGTCTCCGGCAGAGATCCTCATGGGAAAAAAAATTGTGGACGATCCGCAATCTGATGCTTCCGAGAACCAAAGCATCGCCATCACAGACCAAGTCCCAGAAGCTGCCAACGTACGAAATTGGATGTCCGGTGTTCGCTAGGGACTACATACCGAATCATGGTCCCTGGACAGAAGCACATGTGGTCGGAAAACTAGGCCATGTACGAGGTAGAGGTAGGGAGAGACAGATGAACTCGATATCGGAACCAGCTACGTAAGCGGCTAGCTCCAGTTCGCCCATCGACAGAAGGAAGTCTCCCGCTGGACATCCTAATAGATACCTTTAATCCACTCGTAGTCCCAACACAGGAAGAAGCACATTGACAGGTCGACGTACGATCCAGATGGAGGTCACTCCGACAACGGCGACAGATGTTCAAGACGCAAGTGGACCCCAGGAAGGAACGTTATTAGAAAGGGGTGTTGAGGATGTTAGATCCCCAATTGGAAAATACCTTATTTATTTTAAAAATAGGATTTCTTGTTTCCTCGCCAAAAGCGCTCATTTCCACCTTCGTGTCATATTTCCCACTTGGGAGAATCTTAAACGCTATTGGTTCGTTATATCTTTTAGTATGCTATTTTGTAACGCTTCCTGATGATAATTTTATGCTGTATATATATGTTTAACTTGTGCCTGTTGTTATTGCTCGTGCTTCTGGCTGCTTGCGGAATATATTTCCCCGTCTCGAACATGGGCTTCTCTCTCTAGTTAGCGGGGCTGGGACGCATCAGAATAGCTAGCTCATTGGTCTTTGGTCAAAGAGTGTTTGTTCCGTTCTCAGACTAGGTGAACTCGTAATCGCTGAAAACATAGCAATGTTGCCCACTGAGATGAAGAGAAGAAAAATTAATATGTAGTACAATAAAATGTATATCTACAATACATTGTACTTTGTATACTAAAATATTAAATAAGGTTATTTAAAGTGGCCATTTCCACTGATCGCGAGGAGCTTCTTCAATGAGCGGTTCCCAAGGCTTCCATTTGAGCATATTACGAGCTAAATCGTATTCTCTTTGGGCCTATATTAACATGTCAAGAAAAAAATTAACAACACAGAGTGTAGAAAAGAAAAGTTATGGGCAAATTATCTTGTGAATCTATTGATACACGATTATTTGGATATTAGATAATTCTGTCTATCGAAATCTCTATCAATACGTGAAATTATATATATATATATACCAATTCAAGTATCTGGGTATATGTTTTGACTACCGTAGGATTGTGCACCAACCAATACTTATTATGAAACAGGATATGTTATTGGAGATCGCGGACTCTCCATTGCCGGCGATCCAACAGATGATGGTACTAAAGTAGTATGCAATACTTAAGTTACGTTACATGGTACAAATAGGTTTAGCAGGTAAAGCAGATCTTGAAAAGGTGGATATTTAAGTCCACAAGCGAGTGAGACAGTGACTGAAGTTACCCCACGATATAGTTAAAAGCTATTTTCATGCTCGAGTTAGTGATGGCAGAATCGGGGTCGAACCTCTATACACTACGGTACCAATCCGACATTCTTAACGATTCAACTTGTATTTATGAAGCTGTGAGTTACTGCATGCCATCTGGTAATCAAAGGCCTATAAACAGATTGAAAAAAATTTATCGGTGTTGTGACTCTTGGCGACATGTTGGTATCAAACACAGATGACATGTTTGCAGCGTTGAAAACGCGATTATATGGAACTCAAAAGGGTAAACGTCTTTAAGTCTCAAGTCAGAGTGCATCATTGCCTTATGGGCCACGTAGATGTTTACCTGGATGTATAGGAAAACTATTCAACTAAGAGGTCATACCCTAAGTACTAAGGTAAGAGGATGTAGAATTGGTAGAGATCCTGGTAATCTGAGGTGCAAAGGTCGGTGTAATAAAGTAGGATCCTCGACACATATCCTCTAAAACTGTAAAGATGCCCAGCGATTGCGTATCGCTAGGCATAATTGAGTGATTGAGAAGTTGGAAGATTCGTTGAGACGTTCAGCGTTTTCGGTGACCCGAGAACCTCCCATACGCAATGGGAAAACCTATGTGTAAATGAGATGAAATATATGTCGCATTGTATGTAGTTATGATCGGCTGAGAACATCGTGGAATGTTAAAACATGAAAGTATAACACAAGAGAGTTGAATGCAAAGTTTCGTAAGATCTTCCTTCTGAGTACGAGCGTGGTGTGTCACCTACCCATTGTAATAACGATGTGTGGCATACTAGATAGGCGTTCTGAGGGTGTATTGCTAGGAGTGGGAGTGAGAAAGTAGGCTGCGTCTTGGCTATGAGAACAGACCATTATCGGTTCATTGATATGTTACGATGCCTATGAGGCGTTTTAAATTATGGATGTCTGGTATTTGACTGAGTAGCTACGGACTTAGTTAGAGTACCCGTCCCATGTGACACGAATATACGTGCGGAGTAGAGTCGAGACCGTTGTGCGTCCAATAAGGTGCTCGGCATAGCGATATGTATGGTTGCGCTCAACCACATCCGACTTCTACCCATCTGCATCAGCCATTCAAGATTAGTGTGGTGGAGAGGCTTAGCTTACGTTGGTTTTATCCCGTCCACTTAGGCGCGTGAAGTCAACCTCATAGTAACACATGCACTCGAGAGGTACCTGTCGTAACTGGATCGATCCACCGGCTTAATGTGGGCCTTTGAGAGGCTCGGTCGGTTTGGTAAAGACGACAAAGACTAGAGGTTGGCGGACATTTTTGCCAGTGAAAGCGTGGCTCCGATAATCTAGATGAAGCTACGCGGATGGCCGGTTAGCGCTCTCTCTGCTGCCGTTGACGCTTGGGATAAGAAGGTAGTGGATCGGTTGTAGGGATCTTGTTGATTTGCAAGGTGTCTGTCTAGAGGTGAAGGTCGAGGTAGAGAATGGTTGGGAGAATATATTACATATCACAAACACTTCAGTTGATGAAGATTTATTACAGTATTAACTGACTGGCTACCTTTATATAGCACCATATGCTTAACCTCAGAATTACACACTGGGTATATATATATATATATATATATATATATATATATATATATATATATATATATATATACTACGAACTTCCTTAGTATATATTTTAATGAAAGACCCTACCACAGAAAATCTAGATCAACAGAGTCGAACGCTGCCCTAATGCCAAGAAATACCATTATAGTCCAGCATTGGTAGGTTTGCCTGGCGAAGGGTGTTATATCTCAAAGGCCGCTGATTAGAGGGCAGTGACTTATCGATCAGATCAAGGAATTCAGAATTTCGATAGGCTATTCTGGTCCGTTGTCCCCGACTCAGCTAACGCGATCAAGAAGTCTTGTTAAGGCGTAGAAATTGTATTCTACAGGCAACCAGAAAACGCCAGGTCAAGCACACAAATCAAGCGTATTCATACAAATATATATAATCGATATTTTTAAGCATTTAATCAATAGGTTTATCAATTGACTGCTATTCAAATATTCAAACATTTGATCGATAAGTTAATCGATAAGATAAAATTACAAAATATTAGTTTTGTGGATCTATCGGCCCCAACAAAGGGTAAATATTTGATCTACACATTTTCAACCACATTTGAAATCAATAAGGTTTTCCTGGGTTTGCTGTTCATGAAACCCAGTTAAATGTCAGACGGTTATTGAGGTCAATATTTCAAACACTATTTCAGCCAAACTGATACCTTTGTGCCTGACACACAAGAATTATTTTCCCTTCTTGCGAACTGAAACGGTTAGAGATGGACTCTAATCAGATGGGTTTACGTCCGATTCCAGCTTATATCTCAGTCAATGTAGCAGCCAAAAATGAACCATCATCCTCAAACATTTAAGGATTTAATACATTATGCGATGCTTGTCTACCTCATTTTAGATTAGTTACAGCACTTTCAACACAACTAAGAGTTGGGAACTTGTGTTAATTTCTTAATAAATTTGTTCGGAGATAGTGGGTAACTGAGAGGTTACTGGAAGCCACTTGAATTATTCGATAGTATCACTACACCAATAAGCGTATACGGTCGAGATACAAAACGTTACAAATACTAATCGTGAAAGTAATGAAGCATTAAACGATACCTACCTGTACGATAACTTCTTCAATTTGACCACAATCAATGGTAGATTCAAGAGTGGGAATATCCGAAATCTTTTATTAAGAACAGAAAGCATTAACATCAACTAAATAAGTCACTTTTTGTACAGCGTTCAGTCTGGACTGTACTATTTCGTTTGTGTGCCTACGATAACTGGATTCTTCAGGCATTAGAGCAAGCACTTTGATTATACGCTTGTAAAGTGATGTTAGAATCTAAAATTGGGAGATTTGTTAAATTCTCAAGGCATTTACAATATGAGGATTTTTTGAAACTGGCAATCCGGTTAATAGAGTACTCTGAAATTAGAAATCTGAAATTTTAATCCAAAAATAGTCTCACTCTTTTTATCGACTGCATTGTCTTCTGTACCTGTATAATTAAAAATTGTGTTTAAAATCAAAATATACATACAAAAAAAAACTAAATCAACTGTGGTGCGTGCTACTTATATTGATATAAGTAGTATATAACGTGAGTCAAAAGAACGTAATGGCTGGCAGCAGAAGATGGAGAAGATCAAGAAAAGAAGAGCGAGAAAACAATGGAATTTGTAAGAAATCGCATGAGCAATGAAATGCGAGACAATGGATTGATGTTTGCAACAGCAACAGCCCGGTTTGATATGATAGAATGATATTTTGCAAATTAACGATTTACTATATGGTTTTTCTATTTTACCAAGTAATTCTGTAATTTGTCCTAAATACAATTTGGCTGTCCTCACCCGTGTTCTTCTTCACTACATTTGGTGTCGCTGCCTCCACTGAGGATGAAGATCCCATGGCCGAAGGAGTTTGAGGACGGAGATGTGCTGAGCTTCCTGAAGGAGTTTGAGGCCGTGGCGGAGCTGGTGGGAGTGAAGGAGCCGAAGGCGAAGTTGGTGGTGCTGGGGACGCTGCTGAGAGGCAGGGCGAAGGCGGTGTATGACAGCCTGGACGGTGCTGGCGGGAAGACCACATGGGAGGCAGTCACGGAGCGGTTGGCGGCGGAGTTTGACAGCCCAGTGGACAGAGAGGACGCGCTGCAGAAGTTCCGGTTGGCGAGGTTGCCGGTCGATGGGGACCCACTGGTGCTGGCTGTGGAGCTTACCAGATTGTTACGACGTGCGCTGCCGAGTCTGGATGAGGAGTCGGAGGCACAGTTGTTGGCGTCACAGTTTATTGAGAGTGTGCCTGCCACCGTCTCCCAACAGCTGAAACTGGTGAACGCAGCGCAACCGATGGATATCAGTGAACTGGCGAAGGTGACTCGTCAGCTGATGACGCGAACAGTAGCTCCGGTCGGGTGCGGAAAGCAGGAGATGAGTAATGTCGAGAAGAAGATTGAGGAGCTGGAGCGCGAGATTGCAGCAATACGAGTGAACAACAAAAGGAACGATAAATGTTACGCTTGTGGAGGGACAGGACATTGGAAGATAAACTGTCCAACAAGACGACGACGCAGATATGTTAGACGTTACAACGAGTGTTCTTTCTATCCTAGGAATCTGGGGATTGTTGCGTTAGTAGACAGAGGGGCAGTATATACGAGAGTGAACATAAATGAGCGAGATTTAGTTTGTCTGATCGATACAGGTGCAGCAGTATCGTTAATAGGCAAAGAGCAATGTAAGAGAATCAAGCCGTGTACATTAGCTGTCCATACGATAGGGGGCCATATGTTAGAGGTGTTTGGTGTATCTAACAGTATCGTAAAAGTGGGGGATGCGGAGATAAATTTTCCGTTCGTCGTAACCACAAGCTTATCGAGACCGATATTAGGAGCAGATTTCCTAAGAGAAGTAAAAGCGATAGTTGACTTAAGAAGCGGTAAGGTGGTCACGAAATATGGTTCATTGACAATACACGAAAGTAGCGAAGTGGCTGAAATAAGAGTTGCAGCGGATGTCTCGTCAAAGAAACCAAACATTCACGAGTTATGCAAAAAGTATGCGAAAGTATTCACTGGAGATGGGGAGCCGTATGGATTTTGTGACAGAGTAAAGCACGAAATACCGATAAAGAACAGTCGAGTAAATATATTTGCAACACGTCGTGTCCCGGTGCATTTAGAGGCCGAGGTAAATCGTCAGGTCCAGGAAATGTTAAAAGAAGGTATAATTGAGGAAGCGGACAGCCCATATAGCTCGCCGGTACTCTTGGTAAAGAAACCAAATGGAAAGTATAGATTTTGTGTCGACTTCAGAGAATTGAATAATATAACAGACCTGAAGCCTTGTGCAATGCCAACAGTGGTGGAAACATTAGATCGGCTACAGAATGCCACGGTGTTTACAGTGCTGGATTTACGGTCAGGTTATTGGCAACTGCCTATAAAAGAGAGTGATCGGAGCAAGACAGCGTTTACTGTACGGGATAAACAGTATCAATTCAAACGAATGCCGTTCGGGTTGGCGGGTGCACCGTTCACGTTCAGAAGATTAATGACACTACTGCTCAAGAATCTAGATAATGTCGAGGTATATGGCGACGACGTAGTTGTGTACAGTCAAACAGAAACAGATCACATCAAACATGTGGAAGCGGTCTTAAAGCGAATTGACGAATTTGGACTTCGGATTAATAAGGACAAGTCGCAGATAGCGAAAAGTAGCGTCACATTGTTGGGACATAAAGTGGGAAATGGAGAAATAAAACCATTGCCGGAGAAAATTCTTACCATAAAAAATATTGCAATACCTAATTCGAAAAGGAAGTTGAGACAGTTCCTGGGAAGAGCGGCATTCTACAGTCGGTTTGTCAAAAATTTCAACGAAATAGCAGCACCCTTATATAAGTTATTGAGCAGCACCAAGTTTACGTGGACTGAGGCTGCCGAACAAACGTTCAACCGAATCAAAAACATGCTAGACGATCGCCAGATGACGCTGCTTCGGCAAAAGGACCGACTGAGAGTGAACTCATATGGAGTGCTGACCTGGCAGGACGATGATGAAAATTGGGTGGCGGTGATCCCGAAAGACTGGCGGCGTAAAGTGATACACGAGTGTCACCAGGTAGCACATACAGGCATCGCAAGAACGACGGACTTACTACGACAAAGTGCATACTGGCCGAGCATGAGAGATGATGTGGCTGAATACGTGTTAACCTGTCAGCAGTGTCAGCTAATGAAAAGCGATCGATACACACAACCGCCATTACAGTCAATCCCAGTAACCGCAGTCGGTGATCTATGGTCGGTTGATGTGATGGGACCGTTTCCACAGACGGCGAGCGGTAACCAGTATCTGTTAGTGATGACGGAACATGCCACACGTTGGGTAGATGCCGTACCCATTGCAGACCAGCGGGCAAGGACAGTGACCGAGGTGGTAATCCGGCATATTGTAGCGTGTCACGGAATACCGAAGATGATATTAACTGACCAGGGTCCCTGTTTTGAAAGTGACGAGTTTAAAGCCCGTTTAAAGCAGTTTGGCATCAAGAGAATACGAACTACACCATATCATCCTCAGACAAACGGGCTTACAGAGAGAAACAATCGGACGTTAAAGGAATGGTTAGCATCAAAAGGAGGAAATTGGGAGAAAGAGTTACCATTGATTTTGCTGGCACATCGTTCCTCAACACAAGGAACAACCAAGAAGTCACCTTTCTTGCTCATGTATAGCAGACAACCACGACTTCCAATGCATAATAAGACCTGGCCACAACAACAGAAGTGGACGACAACAAGGTTAAGAAAAGAGAGGAGAGAGGCAATAAGGAACGTGGAAAAGAAACAAATATCAGACACAAAGAAGGCAGAACAACAGAGGAGAACGTGGAAACCCTTTGCAGTGGGGGACCTAGTAAAGTGTAGAGAACGAAAAAGTAACATAGCAGGGGGAGCAGGGTCGGGGAAGCTGGCCCCAAAATGGGAAGGACCGTATGTAATCACGGAGAGACGCGGCTCGGTCTACACGATCCGGAGAGAAGACAAGCAGAAGCGCGTAAATGCTAGTCAACTACAGAGATGGTTTCAAGATCATCATGGGTGTGAATCACGAAAAGCACCAAAGAACACAGCGGTACGAAGATCAGAAAGACTACGACAGCAACTTGTTAAAAGGGGGGACGAGTGTGGTGCGTGCTACTTATATTGATATAAGTAGTATATAACGTGAGTCAAAAGAACGTAATGGCTGGCAGCAGAAGATGGAGAAGATCAAGAAAAGAAGAGCGAGAAAACAATGGAATTTGTAAGAAATCGCATGAGCAATGAAATGGGAGACAATGGATTGATGTTTGCAACAGCAACAGCCCGGTTTGATATGATAGAATGATATTTTGCAAATTAACGATTTACTATATGGTTTTTCTATTTTACCAAGTAATTCTGTAATTTGTCCTAAATACAATTTGGCTGTCCTCACCCGTGTTCTTCTTCACTACACAACTACTGTTATAACTTGTAACTGCAGATTAGAGAGCAGTGAATTATCGATCGGACCAAAGACGTGTAAAACAAGTGAGAACAGCCTAGAGTTCTAGTTGGTCCTGCTTTCCGCCTAGCTCAGCCAGTTAAGTCCAGAATGCAAGTCCCAGCCTCTGAGATAGGAATCACTATATTTCAAGCATAGTGAGTTTATATACCAATCAAACCGACCACAACGTACCAATGAAATATGAAACAACATTTGTACAAGAATTAGCCAGATGTGGCTGTGAATGAGGAAGGTAGTAATCAATATACTGGGTATAACTCAAGAAAAGTAAAATGCATATTAATGAATCATAGGTTAAAATAAAGCTTATAGTAAGAGGAACATGAATATAAATAGCTTAGTTATTTAATAATTATACAATAGAAATATACGGTTAGTATTGATCCATAAAGGATCCCAAATTTACCACTCATTATGTTTCTCGGGTCCCAACTATCCTACCAACATAAACACTTTAGAGAACCTTAAGGAGGATGTGTTTGTAAAATCTCAGCAAATGAATTCGAGATTTTAGAAATACATTTTCTCTCCTTAATGTCTCATATCAACTCGGAGCCCAAATACAGTGAAACTATTACATTAAATTTGGACGAAAGTTCTTATATACTTTGGAAAACCATCGTTAAAATGTTTCATGTATAGTAATTGAATATAAAGTGAGCACACTCATAAAGCTGTCTCGGAGTAAATCAAAGACACGCTTACATGCTGATCATCAAAATGAATTAGTAGAAAGGTTGGTGAGCCAATAACATAACAATCCTGAAAAACACCATACAATACTAACTTTGAGCGTACCATGAACTTTTAGGTAAGATCATGCCCCCAAATGCCCTGATATGACCGAGAGTGGGCAGAGTCCGCCCTCCCTCTCGAAATACTCTCACACGGCCACGCGTATACAACCTCTGCCAGGGAAGTCCTACTCATTGCCTTCTCG